CCGCATGGGATGGTGGGCTATACCCACCAGCAACTAAGACTGAACATGGTACCTTGAGCTGAGTGGCCGAGAGCTGCCGACGGGTGGCCGGATGGCAACTGGACTTGGAGCTAAGCTAGCTTCGCCCTCCACAACTAAAGATTGAAGGACAACAACTTGGCTGTTCCCCTTCCCCAATAAAATCTTAAAAAAAAAAAAAAGAAAACCAGGTGGGAGGAAAAAAGGTGGCAGAATTTCCCCATTTGGAGCATTGATGTCCAAATTTCAACACAGTCATCAGCAGTGACATCCAAGACATTTTAACAGCTGTTATGTCCAGAGAACATGCAAACGAAACTTACCTTATTAGAAAAAAGGTAAATAAGTTACTACATATTTGTGAGTCGGTTCTTAATTTTGTCTGAGATGAGAACAAGTATGAATTTAAAGCAAAGTGGTAAAAACCCAAGGGAATGGGCTCCAAAGAGATTACTTAGAAAGGCAAACGTAGACAAGCATACACATCAGCTAGCGAACTCAAGATCTGAAGAGTTACAAGAATCTTAATCACTCTCTGTGTGGCCACACCAAATCTCTCATACAAGAAGTGAATTCAAATGTTTTGGAGACATTATATAAGTTTTCGTGCTATGACTACTTCTTCAAAGTGAGGTAAGAATCTCAGACCTGTGGTTAGCTTTTCAAGTGTGGACATTGTGGTCCAAAAGGTAGACTCAACCCAGTGGCCCTTCCAGGCCCTTATCCCGTTTCTGCTGGACCCAGGCAGCAGGGGTAATTTCAGGGTCTTCCCACATCCCTTTTCCCAGAGCAAAGGGCTGCGGGAGACCAAACCCAGCCTACCTCTGCAGACTGCCTCACTGCTCGGATATGGGACTTCTGGCTGGGAGCTCTCGATGGAGATTACACATGAAACAGGAAATGTCTGCAGGGAAAAGTGATTTGGGTTTGGCCTTTGATCACTGGACAAGCTGAGTCTGGGAACCAGAGCGAGTCCAGCCACAGAAGTTGAATCAGGAGGCTGACTGGGCCTGGGGCAAGTCCCTGTGTGGACACTGAGTGAGCCTTACAGTGGAGACCCTGCTGCCACGCTCGGTAGTCCCTGTGCCTGGGGGGGGGGGATCCTTCTGTAGGGATTCAGACTGCACCTATGGCTTAATTTGGGAGGTTTACTTTGCCAGAAAGTGCCAACCCAGTGACCACAGATTCTTATTTCTCTTGGTCTCACCTACACACACACACACACACACACACACACACACACACACACACACACACATTTTTTTTTTAAAGATCCTCTTAGTTGGACATTTGAGAAAATATTCTTGTCTAGGGCACAAGGACTTCAAACTCTCCAGTGTCACACTAGTGGATCCAATGGAGACCATGGAAAATGCCAGAGAGATAATGACTGACACTAAAATCCCCAAATGGAACATTCATGTTCTTAGAGGGAGAGGTGATAACTGGCTTTGTTCCAAACTGGGAAAATGGCAGCCCAGAAAGCCAGCTAGAGAGCCTCAGATCAGGAAGGAGAGAGGGTCGCAGCCGAGAGCGTGGGTTCTGGAGTCCCTCTACCTCAATTTGAACCCTAGTTCTAGCATTTCATCCTTAGGTCCTTGTGTCTCAGTTTTCCCCATCTGTAAAATGGGGAGGAAATAACAATGCTTATTTCAAAGCATGGTTTTGTTGTGAAGGCAAAGGAAGTTAATGCATGTAAGGTATTCAGAAGAATGCTTGGCCCAGAGTCAGAGCTCAGGAATGCCTGCTGCTGTTATTATTCTTATCAATGTTGTTTTTATTACCAATTGTCTGCAAGACCTTGGGCAAGTCGTGGTACCTGCTCTGAGCGTTTTTGCTACCATCTCAGTGAGTAAGGAGTTTGGATTGCAGATTTCTGAAGTCCTGTCAGGGTCTAAAGACTGACTATTCCTGTTCTTCAGAACGGAAGCAGAAGGGGTGAGACACCAACCAGCACCCTTCCCCCTCAGTTCCACCTCTCTGTGCAGGTGGCTAGGAGGACCTGCAGTGGGAAGGCCTCCCATCCCTTCATCACATCCCAGGGAGGCTGGGAGCAGTACGGCTTCAGACACGGGGGCTCTGAAGTTCACATGGCGCTCCCCCAAACAAAACTGCTAGGCTTGACCCTCCACATCAAGGGGTAAGTGCGCCAGACAAAGTCAGGGGAAATCGCCACAGTCCAGTACCTTCCTGTTTGGAAAAGGTCGGGCTCCTGGGAGGGCTGGAGTCAGAGCTCCTGCATTTTAATCCATTGAGGAGGGATGGCTGTCCCTCTTTTGATCTGCCAATGTGTTACTTGGTTGGGGTGTTTCTGAAGAAAGCGGGAAAGTAAGACATTATATTCAAGGGCTCATATGGGCAATAGGAGGTTCTGAAATGGGGTCTTTTCAAAAGTGCTCCTTCGGACTGCTATGCTGACGTTAGTGCTGTTTAAACCAGACCCAGGTCACAGCCTTGAGTCCCTCTGGGAAGGAGCTGGGTGTTTCCCAGGGAAGCTGTGATTCTGCAGGCAGTGTGCGCTACATTTCGAGGGATGCTGTTAAGGCAAAAGAGCCTTTGAAAACGATTCCTTAACCAGGCCACTAGCAACACCTTTAATTACACAGAGTGGTAATTACAGCCTCTGTGCACGCCGGGCTGGCAGCGCCCCAGCCGGGCCCTCACACATGGTGAGGCCATTGCTCTCTCGTTGAAACAAAATTTCAGGTAGAAGATGGTGCTGAAAGATGGGTTCGTTTTCCCTGGAAACATTCCCCTCTGATCAGTGCTTGATGGACCAAGCCCATTTCCCTTTGGGCCTCTGACTGACGGCAGAAGTCCCTCCCCTTTGCTTTCTGTGTCTGGACAGACTGAGTCTAGAATGTAAATTCTATAAGAGCAGCGACCTATTTTTGTTTTACTTCCTGTCCTATCCCATGTGCCTAAAACAGGGCCCAACACAAAACACTGACTTAGTAAACACACCTTGGGTGAGCGAAAGGATGACTTCATGAATGAAATGGGCCTAGAAGCCTGGCAGACATGCGAGTTGAATGTCACCAAGCTATGGAGGTGAGCTGTCCTTCTAGAAGGGCCCTGAGGTGAGGCCCCTGGGCTCTGGTCATAGAAGCAGCCATAGAGCGGGGGATGGGGTGGCCATGGGTAGGCGGGGCTCTCATGCCGAAGTTGGAGGCGTTCTACCATCGCTCTCAGTGCCGGCCAAAGCCATCCGCCCAGCTCCCTGGGGCTGCCTGTGAGCCTAGCTCACCTGCCCAGGTCAGAGTGTCCTACACGCTCCACTACACTCTGCCAGCAAATCCATCCCTCCCAGTCCTTGCTGTCCACACATGTTGAGGGTGATGGGGGTGGTGCAGGGGACAGTGGATTTCCAAGGGGACAAAGGGAGGAAACACCTACCTTTCTACTCAGTAAATTCTATGACGACAAGCTGGGATGCAGAGAGGAATGGGAACAAAGTTTCTAGATCAGGATAGGAAGAGTCGCTACAAAGCTTTGACGGAAGGGACTCTCTGAGGATGTCCCTGCCCGCACGCACATGTGTCTCCCTGTTGCATAACATGTTCTCACGGTGCCCATGAGTCCTCATTGTCCTGGTGCGTGCCTGTGTGCTGGTGCCACTGCCTCCTCTCCCTCGTATCAGAAGGTAGTGATGGACTAGCACGCAGAAGCTCCTGTAATCTACTTTCTACAGTGTTCTACTATAAACTTGGGGCGCATGCGGATTTGCTTTTCATTCCTCCCTTTTTAAGTAAGTGCCCAGGCTCCCTGCTCCTGGAGGCAGGAGGATGCTCTCAAGCTGAACTGGGAGGTGAGGGTGTGAGCCCAGTACCCGTCACCCATCCGGGGCCTGTCTCCTTTTCTCAGTCACGCCTCCACTCTGGAGTGCCAATCTGGAGCCAGAGCTACCTCCGTGCCCAACAAGGAGGAAACGGAGATGCCCAGCCTCCTGAAGTCTCCTGTGATTCCTCAGATTGGGACCTGATGTCTTGATACAGGGCAGGGCAGAGCTTGGGGGCATGGCGGCACTGGCCCTTCTCTGCTCTTCACTGATCACCGGGGCGCCCCTACCCGTCAGGAAGAGGGGCACTCAATGAGCGAGAGGGCAGGGATGCCTTCCCAGCCTGGCCTCACCCAGGGGGCACAGACAGGGAACTAACTATCCTATCTGCGGACTGCACAACCCTCCTCTGGTTCTGAGAGACAAGGCTGGAGTGGTGACCAGGGAGATGGCTCTAGCCCAGCTGCCACCTCATCTTTGTTCTAATTGGAAAACGGGGATGATGGTCACGCTGAAAGCACAAGGCCCTAACTCATCCGCCCAGACGAAAGGGGCAAAGCTCACCGAACTTCAGACCTACAAAGGGTCATGGGGATGGTAAGGAAACAGGGGCCCCGAGAGAGGAGCCCAAGGCCACAGTAATGGCCAAACTAAGAATAACCATCATTCTCGTAAAAGCAACTAACGTTTATGGCGTGTTTCCTCCGTGCAAGATACTGTAGTAAGCTTTGCATACATGATCTTATGTGGTCCTCATAAAACCCATGGCGTAGGTTCCATCACTATTATTCCCATCATACCGGTGAGGAAATGAAAGGATAGGAAGGTTAAGCTAACTGCCCAAGATCATGGAGTTAGTGAAGAACAAAGCTCCACATTTCAGTCCAGTGCCCTTCTTACCATCTCCTCTGCCAAAAAGACACCCCAAATGCCTCTCTTTATTGCCATGAAATTGAAGACCATCAGAGCCTCGGAATCTCAGAAAATAGAAAGAGGTGGCTCGGGTGGTGACACGGATTGTGTGAGCTACACTGGAATGGTCAGACATTCTTGTGTTAGAGCGGCATTTATTTCTTTCGGTTTTTAAAGAAAATATCACCGAGTAAAATGTACAGAGTCAAAAAATCCAATGGCCTTGTGCGCATGTGGAAATAAATTAATTCCAGGATTCAAATTAAGCATCCCTGTTGGCCTCTGGCCTTTCAAAAGCCAACAACAGACTGCGATGACAATGGGACTCAAGCAATTATGATGAGAATATAAATGAACGTGATTTAAATACCAGAGGCATGATAATTTTGGGAATGGCTATAAACCTAATAATCTCATTCTTGCAATGTCCAATTATGGTGTTTTAATTAAAACCTCCTAAGGAGATGGGCGGCTAGTCGGGCTTACCTTAATTATCTTTATACTTAGTAGCTGGTCCCAAATTAAAAAAAAAAAAAGAAAAGAAGGGAAGGGGAGGAGGGGGGGAGTTTCTTGTTTCCAGGGAGATATACCTATTTCATTTTCAATAATAAATGAGACTATGTTCATTGAGAGGCTATTGGGACCAAACACTGTTCTAGGTATTGGGCTACCTGAAAAAATGTAAGACGTGGCCCCTTATTACTAGAAGACATGACTAATCTTCATGACAAGGTATCTCAAATTCAAAGGACAACCCAATGGGTTCAAAGATGTTCAAAGGAAAGAGACCACTGACTCAGGAGGTCCAACGTTTAACGAATCCCCTTGAATTACAAACGGGGACTGGTAAAAACGTTCTCAGATTACAGTCTTAGAAAGTGGACAGATGGAAGGCAAATCCTAGAGTTTAAACTCTCAAAGCCCTTTAGGTAAGGAGGGAAAAAACCAACCAAACAAAACTTTGCAACGCACATAACATGAGCCGACTAATGGCCAAAGCGGAGCCTTTCTCTGGGCCGTCATGGGCACTCTGAGCAAGTCCCGGTCGGGTTCAGGCAGCAAGAAGCATCGGGGCTCTTCTCGGCCTGGAGCCCTGCCCTCCTCGTGAATCAAGAAAAGCTAAGAGGCGTCGCTTCGGCATTGGCTGAAGGAAACCAAGCAGTTCGGTCGTATATCATAGAAAAACGTTAATAATAAATAAAACAAAGACAGAGTGTCTCACCCTTGTGAAAAATTACTAATTGTCTCACCAGAGGAAAAAAAATAAATGCCTTCAATTGGAAGGGTGCAGTTGCCAGAGGAGATGAATTTTGTCAAGGCGTGCTGTGCTGCTAGCCAATTTCTGGGTTAGCTGGAGTGATAAGAAGCCCACACCGGGCTTCTGGGAAGAGGAGGCCGGGCTCCAGACGCCAGATTTAATTCAAAGGGAGCTATCGGGGACTGCGGCGGGCGAGGCCCTCACCGCCTGAGAGAGATAAAGCTCTTTCCTGTCTCTGCAGTCGCGTGTTGGGCGAATTTTTTGATACCGTCTAAGGGCCCAGGGAGGTTTTCTGATGCTGCCTTGACAGGGGCCACTGGTGATAGAGCTGCACGCGGGGATGGCTTAATTGGTGCCCACGCCTTTCCTTCTCCTGAGCAGATAACCTCGATTTTTAAAGAGATGTTCTTGCCCCCTTCCACCATCCCCGCACCCCCACTCCCCCGGCCGGCCCTTTCTTCACTAAAGTCTTCTTATTGCAAGTTACTGGGGGAGTAGCTTGAGCAAGGAGGAAGCACGGGTGGTTCTGCAGCTAAAACAGCCGCAATCAGGTCTGGCCAAAACCACCTCTTTCAGACGTCTTGCTGGACTCTGCTATGGGGTGGGGCCTGCACCCCCAGTGGTGTGTGTGTGTGGGGGTGGTCAGTGCATGGAAATAACCCTTCTCTTTGGCCTCCCCCTGTGCACACAGGCCTGAGTCTTGCTCCACGCTGCTTTCTCTGGCATCCTTTTATCACAGTCTCACCAACTACCCTTAGCAATTATTAAAGAGGCAGCACTTTTTGGAGAAGGGGGTCCTCCTGGACCCCACTAATCATGGCGGTGGTTCGTTCATCACGGATGTTCAATGCACCAGTTCCCCCAGACCGTCCTATCTGCCTGGGACCTTTTCAGAAAGGAGCCCTGCACAGTATTCCATTTTAACCCGAGACCTGGGGAAGCACCTACAGAATTCCTCACCGGACAGTGGTCCCACTGTGGCGCGCCCCTGAATTCATACTGTGCTGAGGGGGTGGGGGTCAGTAGCATGGCCATGCCCGGAGCCTGCGGACTAAATGCTAATGTCCTCAAAAGACACCTGGCCTCGTATTAGGAAGCTGCAGGGTCCCCCTCAAGCAATGGGCTTCACTGCCATAAACAGGGGAGGTGATGAGGACGCTCCTATGTGACAACGAACCCGCCTGTGAGATCTAGCCGCTCCAGACGAGGGACACGGCGGGGGGGGGGCAAGGGGGGGCCCGCTAGCACCTCCAGGACCCATGAGGGTCGGCTGGCCTTCCCCACCCTGGGGTTTGGATCCCGACTGCGGTTGGGTAAGCAATGACTCACGACTCCTTCGATGGGGGGCGCGTTTGTGACGAAGTGGTGTCCGTGCGTCGCATGAAGCTTGGTACCCACCTACAACGATGTGTTTTAACATTCTCTCTAATTAGTTTTTCTCATTAGCTCTTGGTTGACTCCTGCACTCTATAATTATTTCTTTCACTGGCACTTATGCCGGTATTGTACCCTTTGCCTAATAATGACTGTAATTACAGTCACTGTGTTTGAGTTTGGTGCCTGTGTGATAAACGGTTTTATTATCCGTGTTTGATGGGAAGTGATTTCTAAGTGGGCGTCTATAGGAAATTATTGAGGTACTGCTCTGAGACATGTTAGGATGTCGGTGGATAATAAAGAACTTGATGAAGTAGTAACATGACAGGAGCAAGCAGCAAAGAGCGAGATGAAGTTGAATTCAAGGAAAAATCTTACAAACTGCAAATGCAGCCCGAGAGAAGGGGGCCAATCTGTACTCCTGGTCATATCGGGCCCCGCAGCAACTGCTGCTCAATAAACCTTCAGCACCGAAAGCTGCGATAGTTAAGAAAGGTGGGGGCTGCAGCCCCCACCCATGCTAAGCTCCCTTCCTGCACTGACTCCCCGAGACCAGCCTGTACAGGCCGCTGGGCTCCGATCCCAGGACTGGGTTCCTGGATGTCAGGGCAGCCTCTTAGAGAAAGCCCTCAACCAAATATTTCCTAGTTTTTTCTTTTTTGAGGACATCAAGGGATTAGCTCTACTTCTTTGCCACCCGAAAAGGGAGAGTCGGTGGGACTGGCGAACGTCAATGGTTAGTGAGAAGCGAGCCAGGCTGCGCACTTAGGGCCCTGGGTAAAAGCTGCCCCACTGCTCTGGGCTGGGGCCAGTCTCTTAGCCACCTCCCACCCCTGGGGGTCTGAGCTGCCTCAGCTCGTCTGTGCACACTTCTGTTTTCTGTGCTCCACAGGTTTCTGTGCTTCTATTACATTTTGATCGCCCACAGATGAAACACCTCTGTTTGCTCAGCACATTTTGTGGGCCCACTAAACTATAATAATTCAGCTCCACTCATTAGCTCTTACCAAGTGCTGTGGATTATGCTAAGGGCTTTCTATGCATTATTTCATTTAATCCTCCCACCCATCCGTTGAGTTATGTACTAGTATTATTTCCATTTTGCAGACATGTGGAGACTTGCCAGAGTCACACACTGGTAAGGGGCAGAGCTGGGATTTCCAGCCAGGGAGGCTGACCACACAGCCTCCATGATCCTGTCTCCCAATTTCTCTGAGCAACGGGATGATAGAAACATGTGTGGCAAATGCTAAAGTTCCTAACAAATGTTAGGTTTCTTGGCATGAATGGACTATGAGGCTGAACAGAAAGCGATTCCTGAATTCTTTGAGCCTTTCATTTAACAGGTGACAAGAGCTGCTTGCCTGGAACCCCTTGAGAGACTCCAGAGTTCCCTAAGCCCTGGGGTTACCTGGCGGGTTCCACACCAAGCTCTGGGCCAAGGTGTGTGTTCCAGGTCAGGGTGACGTCAGGGAGAGCTCAGGGGTGGGTGCGTCACAGTGCGGGAGGGCGGGGCGGCAGGGCGGCCTCACCTGGGCACACATACTCCTTCTTCTGCACATCTGCCACGTTGAAGCCCCTCAGGTGCACAGGAGCCATGCACAGTGTGAACTGGCCAATCGTCCGCCGCTGTCGCAGCCAATCGGAGAGCCAGGCCAGGTGGCAGTCGCAGTACAAGTGGTTGGAGTGGAGGCGCCTGGGAAAGGAAGGGACACAGGGGAGACGCTGTCACAGCATGAAGAGGGGAGGCTGCCACTGGCTGGATAGAGTGGGTCAAACCTCTGTGCCCCTCTTACCAGCGTGGTAATCCTCAGGAGTCCCGGGGAGCTTTGCCCTCTGCACTACTGAATTGCCACAGGAGTCTCAGCCCTTTTATTGCCAAGCCACAAACGACAGTTATCTTCACAGGCAGGCCACACCCAAGGGATGCCTCCAGGGTTTGGGCAATTCCCCAGTTCTTAATAGTAATCCCACCCTTTTCTTTCCCACTCAGGAGGGGGAGAGTGACATTGTTACAGTGACAGTCCTGATTCAAGTCCAACTTCCACAGGGGTGGCTCATGTACGAATTTCAGTTCTTTAGCTCGCATGAGTTACAGGTGACTTGAAACAGCGTCTCCATCTCAATGCCCCAGTTTATGGTGGCATTGGGGCTGAGATCTGTGGCTGCGTTTACCCTTTAATTCTTGCCCTAAGTGTGCCTTTAATGAATCCCCTGCATGCAATGCTGGTGAGCCCAAAACCAGTGCCACTGAGAGCACCAGCCAGGGTGAGCAGGGCATGGGGAGAAGGATGCACCTATTTAAATAAGTGTCCACACCAGACTCCTGTAATCCACAGCAGTCTCCCCATAATACCCTTTATCTCCCAAGTTCAATTCTACCTGGTTTCTCTGCTATTCTGACCGGTTCAGGTGCCTCTCGAAAGACTTCCTAACCAGTTCCAGGACTCTCTGGCTTTCTCCCTCTAGTAGCTGACTCCAGATCAATTTCTTGCCCGTGACTGAGCAAGATTCCCAGTGCAATCTGCAGGTTCCACTTCTGAGGGCGAGCCTGTCTGGTAACAAGACTTGAATTTCCTTTCCACTAACTGGGGGACCAACTAAGAATATCCAGGGGCTTCTAAAGGTGTTTCCCCAAGGTGTCTCTACCAGGGCTTCCAACTTCCACGTTCCCAAGAACCCTATGTTGTTAGAAGTGACGGTCGGCCAGTTTTAGTCACATCAGCGTATCATATCCATGGCTTTCTGATGCAAATTTCAAAGGCCCAACCCTGGACATGGTAATCAGCGAGCAGTATCTGGGGACTTTCAAGCACTCTGTGTCAAGCCGGTTAATACTGAGTGGCAGCCGAAAGCAGGGACTTGGGCTGCCGCCATGTCTGACAAGGAGAGAGCTGAAGGGCTCTTGACCACACCCCACTTAGCGTAAGGTTGAGCTGAAGGGCTCTTGACCGCACCCCACTTAGCGTAAGGTCAACATCGCTAAACATCGGCCAAGTGCAGCTAACTTGGGCTGCGTGCTGGTGCAGCCTCACTATCCTTGCGTGGGTGAAAACCCTGGGTATGCCAGAGCCAGTGGGTGCCCTGGCAGCCTCAGGGGGCCCCAGATCCCATCATATCAGATGGACTAAATAAACCCGATTCCCACATAGAACGTCATTTTGGTTTCCTGCTGAAAAGAGCTTTATGATTTTGTTTTAAAAGGATTAATTTTGATATTGTAATTTTCTTTTTGTATTCCAGAGCCAACATTTAAGGTCCAACCCATTTTAGTAGGCTCCTAGGCCCAAGATGCAGTGCCTGTCACGGGCCCCAATCAATTCTCCCTATTGAGTTTCAAAGCTCAGACCCCCAGTGCTGCTGAAGGCACTGTAGAAAGAGGCGCGGCAGTTGGGAAGGGCTTAGGGGGGCAAAATCCTAAGCTGGGGAAGCACCCCAGTTCTAAGAGGGGGTCTGGGGGTGAATTTGCAGCTGGTTCCTCTTTCCTAAAGAGCATGAGGAGAGAAGGGAGTCCCTTTTCCACGTTGGGCCTTCCTGGGGAATTGCAGCATGAGTGAAAGTGATCTGTCTCCTGACCCATTCGTGAGCTGTCCTGAGAGAGAGAGAGAGGGGGGCTCCATGGGCAGACATACACCCTGGGGTATAAAGGCTGCCTGGGACAGACCAGTGCGTCAGTCCTGGCGACAAGGTGGGGCAGAGGCAGCCTGGTGGCACGCACAGGCTGAGGGGCCTGAGCGCTTTCATGTGCCAGGAGAATCGAGCCTTTTCATGAGAGCTGGGCTCTCATCAGGAGCGGAATCAGGACCGCAGGACCTCTGCGGCCGCGAGGAAGGAAAGCTGAGGGCACAGGGAGTCACACTGAAGCGACGGGCGTGGACCCACGAGGCAGATCAATGAGAACAAATTCCCGTCAGTTCCAATGGAGGGTTAGGGACCAATGGAATGAGGTTTAGGTGAGTCAGGTCCTTACTGAGAGGATTAATTTCTGAGATAATCAAAATGTCAGAGGCTCCCCTTTTGGAAGATGATATTAGGTCGGTTCTCCCTCAGCCCCGGCCCGCAGCCTCTCTGCCTCCCCATCTCTAGATGGTCCCTGTTCCTTTGTCTGTCTCTGTAAGAATGTCTCTTCTTTCAAGTGGGACCATGGAAAAGAGGTGACCAAAAATAACCTAGGAGCCATGTGAAGGCTCTTGTCAGAAACCTGGGCAGTTGATGGGCTCCGTCCCCACCCCTCGGAACTTTACCCACCAGAAATGCTGGGAGAGGGGGTGCCGGAGCCCGTGGGGGCAGGCTCTTTCAAGCCGCCTTTCATATCATGCCTAGGAGATCAAATGGAGTCATATCATCCCAAATACTAATATTAGAAGAAAAATAATCATGTTCATCATGAAACGTGAACCTGGAAACCACCGGGTGTATTTCTGGTCCTCCTGAGTGAGAAGGAAAATTATTTTACTTCCGATAATTTTGGTGAGTTGGGCTGGCAGTGACACGGGGGAGGGTGGCCTCTGGTGGCCCTCTGTCTGTGTGGAAGCTCCTGTCTCCCTTGCCTAGGCTCATCTGAAACATGCTCTTGCTTCTGTTTCTGCTGTACAGGATGTGCTCAGGCTCTGACGTCACACTGCTCAAACCTGACATTGGCCCTGTGCTTTGCGACTTTGATTCTGGGTGGGGATGGAACCCTGGGCCTCAGTACGATCACCTGTAATGTGATATTAGCGGTGATATTAGTGGTCCCTCCCTTCCTAGGTATTGAAACGATTCATGAGACGTGCTCAGCACACAGCCCGGTTCATTGTAAATCACTAAAGCAAAGTTTGCTGTTATTATTATGAGGCGATGAGCTCCAGACGGCAGTCACTTCCCAGCCCCATGGTCCTGCCTATACAAGGCTCTCATCTCCGATCTAAATACTGAAGCATCAAGGCGGAAAGGAGGTTCCTGCCTGGTGTCCTATAGTCTCCTGCTGACGGATACACCATATTCCACGTTGGCTAACCCACCTTCACAGAAGATAAGGTGAATGAATACAAATGCCAATTTGTAAAAGGTGCCTTTTAGCCACAGACACTAAATTAAATTTCCAGCAAATCCTTTTAGAGAGGGTCAGTGTTCATTTTCTATAAAATGTGGCTTTCTGAATTCAATATAAAAGCTTTCCTTTAGAAATCCCATTTATGACTTCCTCTCTCCTCGTCCCCTCTTCTCCAGCGCCAGCGCCCCTCCCCTCCCCCACTTTAATTACAGTGAAGGGGGATTAGTCAGCTCAAGTCTCTGGGGAGTTCTATACAGAGCCATCTCTGAAATTAAACTAAAGAGAAAATGGCACCAGGCATGGAGCAAAGAGAACAGACGAGATTGATTCATTGATTTGAGCTCATCAGATGAGAGGCCAGGACCACAGGGAAGAATGCCAACAGAAACAAGGGGAGCACCCTCTCCCACCCTCTTCCCCCACCCCATACACCCAAACCAAGCCCCCAAGACCCAGACCTGGCCATCTCCCCCGTTCTGAGGGCCCAGCCCAGCTTCTGGTATTGCTGCTCCTATCTGGAACCAAGAAGGCAAGCAGGGATCACAGAGGAGCAGCCGCTGGAGCTGAGCCATTTTTGCTGGCAAGAGCCCTATTTCTTCTACTCAACCCACTCATGGACACAGGCCCAGCACCCCGAGGCCAGGACCCCTGGGCCACTCTCTTCTCCAGCTCATCAGTGGTTTGCTGGGGACTCTGAAGAGGTCTTTGAAGACCCAATGGTTTCTCCTTAAAAATCCATTATGGCCCCATTCCATTTGAAAAGGAGAGAAAAGGATGGATTTCCTTGGTGGAATTATGTTATCCTATGAGGGGTCCAAAGGAGAACTGGGGGGTTGGGGGGTGGTCATGACGGAAGCTGGGTTTGGATCGTTCTTCTTCATAATAACTAGTATTTGTTGAGTGCACACCATGACTTTACACCTCAGCACATTTTATTCTGATGAACTTATTAACTAGCTGTCCCGGAAGGGCAGCAATGGGGAGAAACTTGCCCAGAGGACGTGGTCAGCCTTGCATTTAAACTCAGGTTTGCCGGACTCCCAATCTGTGCCCTTCTTAGGGTGCTTTGTGTTGCTTCCTTATGAACTGCTTCATTCTCACTCAGATAAGGTTGCTTTCTCACTAATGCAGGGGTTCTCAGACTTCCAGAGCATCAAAGCCTCCTGAAGGGCTTTCTGAAAACAGGTGGCTGGACCTACCCCCCGAGATTCTGATTCCATGGGTCTGGGGTAGGGACTGAACTTTTGCTTTTCTAATAAGTTCCAGGGGATGTTGACACTACTGGTCTAGGGACCCCACTTTGGGAACCACTGTTCTAAGGGGTTTCAAATCTCTGTAGATTCCACGTTCCTTAGGAGCCACTGCTAAGCTGGTTGCCTGGTACTTTCTGGCTAAACAGTGTGATGATGATGATTGATGACGATGATGATGACGATAGAAAAACAATATCATGCACTGCCGACTCCACGCCAGGCACGTTAGGCGTCTAGCTCATCCGCTCCTCACCAACACCACTGTTTCTAGAGCAGGAGACAGAGGTCCCAGAGCCAGTGCAGGGCATGGCAGGAATCCAGCCCTCCATCTTGGCCCCTAATGTATTTGGCTGAAAGTTCTTGGGGCTGGCGCTCCCCTACAACTGTGATGCAAACACCACGAGGCTCCACCAGCACAGCGAGAGCGGGAGTAAGAGCCTCTCTGCGAAGGCCAGTGGAGTCCACGTGCAGAGAAATTTACACAGGGTTTCCGGCTGAGAGTCGCGGGGAGCTCCCAGGTAATAAGGGCACTGGAGCTGCTCTCGGCATGGGATGTGATGGGGAGGTCTGCGACCTGAGCACACACCCTGGAAGGCTTGAGCCCACCCAAACATTAAAGATCAAGAGCCTAGTCACTGCATTCCAGTATCAGAATATCCTCCAGGGAGCAGGAGAGCATGGGGGGGTGTGGTGAGCGGGGGCTGGGAGGATGGGGACAAGGAGCAGCTCGGACTCCCTCTACTCCACCGTTCCCAGGGGGAACAACCACTGTTACCACTGCCAGTAATGATAGGACTGCCAGAGGTGCGTGACATTGGCTAAGGCAACGGTGAGTCATTACGGCCTGGTTCTCGGTGTTCAGTGACAGCATAACATGAATTGACTTTCCCACCAAGATGTAAAAGACAAAGACGATCCCCACAGTCCCAGGATGAAGAGCAATGAGCCTGTCTGCTGCAGGATGGGGGACGGGAACCACGGGTGGCACCGTGACCCTTCCCCCCACCTGCACTCGCTCACCAGCACCCTCCCCCAAGTTAATAGCAGGAGGAGGCAGCATTTGAATAGAGGAACCATTGGGCACGTCACAGCACCACAGGTTTTACAGGCAGCTTGGAGGGGTGCACGTTGGGCTGCCTACAGTGGGGGGTGGGGGAGGGGCAGGGAGCTTTACTCACAGGGTCCGAATCTTTGGCATGTGGTTGAAGCTGGTGACCAGGATGCGGCTGATGTTGTTGTTGTTGAGTGTGCTGCAGAGATCAGAAAAAAACAGAGATGGTCAGCAGGGGAGCAGCATGAGGGGAACCAAGATGCTTATGGAAGTGGAGGAGGGACGGATGTGACTGCAAGACATCCACACATCAGCAGCCATGGGCCAGTCGGTGGGGCAGCTGGAGATGAGTGGGTGGACCTGCAGACGCTTAGAGAACCCCTGATCCTTGTTGTCAGGTGGATTCCTCCTCCCCTCGGCAGCCCTCTCAGTACTTACCTACCCACCTGGAGTCGTAATATCGCTTCCTGAAATCCTACAATTTACTGAGTGCTTCATTACAGTATCTCTAATTCTCACACCTACAATGCTGGTTACCTATTACTGTCCTCATTTTAGAGAGAAGAGAATAGGTCTACAACATTTTGCTTAGTAACACGTAACCCTACAAGGTAGGCATCATCCTCACGTTGTAGATGAGGTGCAGAGAGGCAAAACGGCTTTTCCATGGGCCCACAGCTGAGCTCTGGAGATGGGACTTGAACCCAGTGCTGTCATGTTCCAAACTCCTTGTGTTGCCCTGGATGCGTACTGCCTCAAACAGGATGACATGTGGAGAGGTTATCCTGTAAGGATTTTCCAGGCATCTTCTGACTCCTCAAGCACATCTTATTTTTAGTGAGTCTATGAGTTCTGTGAGGACAGGGATTAAGTCTCCTGTTTCTTGAGCAGCTCCGTGACCATGGATGAGAACTCCTACGGTGCAACGTTAGCACGAACTGGTATCTTTGTAAGTGAAAAGAGGGATGCGAGCTCTATAAATGGATCACGGTGAAATGAGGCTGCCGAAGAATGAAATCAGGAGGCAGCTAAGTACAGCCCGGGCTTAGCCTTTTTCAGGGACCTATTATGGGAGCCCCAGGAAAGCACGGCCGCCGAGGACGTGATTTGCAGAGATGGAAACATTATGCAGCAGGAGGACATTTTCCGGTCAGTTGCTTCCGTGACCATCCAGACAGAGAGGCAACCATACATGGCCAGGCTGGGCCTAGGTCTCAGCTCCCTGGCCCTGCACCTGCCTCCCTGCGCATCCCTGAGAGCAAGAGTTGTTTGTACAGCCCTTGGCCCGATCCTTCATGGTGAACACTTGCTCCGATGCTCTTCTGTCCTCCTCCCATGGTCACACCAGGTACCCCTCTCACCAGCCCAACTCCTCTAACTCTCTCATGGCCCCCCCACTAGTCCAGGAAGGAGCCTGTCCTTGGAAGCCTTCATTGGTTAAACAGACCTTTTTTTTAAAGGACCCCTGGCCCTTAGTGAATGCATTATTTTCCTCTTAAAATGCTCTCTAACATTTTCTGTCTTGTACATACTACGGCCCCATGACCTGGTCCATACGTAGGTCAAATTGAGTCTTATATACCCTAGATATGTGGTCTTGGGCAGATTATCTATTACCAGCAGGTTCCTTATTAGCTGGGAGAGTCAGGTAATGGTACCACCTCATAGGCTGGTAATGGCTTAGCACGCAGGATGCACTCAGGAAACAGAGGCTGCCATTTTCCTGACATTGCTGGAGACAACCTAGTCCTTCCTGGTCATTCCTTCCACCCCCCCTCCCCCACGGAAATAGAAACAGAGCTTTGTGCAGCATGCAGTGACCTACAAAGCTACTTTGTTTTATGCAGCTTATCTTTTCTATGAGTGCGTGTGTGTGTTAGTCCATCCTGTCTCCATCCACTCAAGAAGCATCCAGCACATCTCATCAGACAGGACTGAAGAATCTGTCACTCCCATCAGACCAGGCTGTCCTGCCTTGGCAGGGGCGAGGGCCCCTGTCCCCACCTCTGCATCAAGTTAGAAATGCCTCTGGGGCAGAGATGACGCCCTCACTTCCCTTTCTATCCAACCCAGAGTCCAGGCTCCACCTGTGGGTGATACCTCATCAGGGCTGTTGAGTCACCACCAGCCCAAAATCTCAGCATCCTCCTTATCTCTCAAAGGCAAAAAGCAAGACGCCTTTGCAGAAAAGAGGCTTCCTTCTGACCCTGCCCAGCCACTCACCATCAGGGTGAGTTCCCAGCCAGCCCTGCGTTAGCTGAATAGACGGTGCAGTTATATGCAGGGCTTCGACTCCGACTGCATCCGGCAGTCATCCGGCAGCGATGACTTATTAATGTATTACTACACTGATATTTAAATGTGAGCCGTAATGAGGGCTATAAAACATTTATGGTAATAGCAATTATTCTAGGACCAAAACGGCCAAACACAGCATTCAGACTTCCACGGTTCGCTGAGTGGGGCTGGCCAGTCCAGGTGCATCAGAAGGTTGCTAACCTCTCAGACGCTGATCTCCATGGCAGCTAGAGTGTGTGGGTCCCTAATAAACACAAATCTATTTGATTTCCAGTCTCGGTGGCTTTTGCCCATGCAGGTGGCGCTGTGGCCTATCTAGTTTCTGTGTCCCCTGCCTAAGCCTCTGGCATTTGACAGAGGTGTCATTGTCCTAACCCCAACACGGTGGAGCAGAGTCACTGAGCACGGGCCTCGGCTTACATTCTGCCTCTGCCACTTCCAGCCCATGCAACCACCGTAAGGTTTCTTAATTTTATGAGGTTTCTTCCTTTGTAACACGGAGATAAAAACAGCGCTGATCTCACACGGCTGTAGTGGTGATTAAATGATATACGAATATCTGTCAACATTAACTGAGAGCTTATCGAACGCCAGGCAGACACTGGGCAGAGGGCTCTACTTGTACCATCTCACTAATTCCTCTGCCACCCTAGGAAGAGGGGACTTTGTCATCATCTCCGTTTCCTGGATGAAGCAAGTGGTGCTACCAGGATCTGAGTCTGAACAGGTCTAGCTCCAGGGACGATGCCTGTATTCATTGTCTATTGCTGCTGGAACAGATTACCAATAATTCAGCAGCTTGCAGCAGCAACACCAATGTACTCCTTAGAGTCTGGAGGTCAGGTGTCTAAAATGGGTCCATGGGACCGTGTTTGTTCTGGAGGCATCAGGAGGAGAACTTGCTTCCTCGCCTTTTGCAGCTTGTAGAGGCCACCCACATTCCTTGGCTCGTGGCTCCTTTCTTGCCTCTTCGTTCTGTTGTCACATCTCCCGCTGTGACCTCCTGCTTCTAGTCTAATGAAGACCCTTGTGGTGACATTTAGGGCCTGACCAGATAACCCAGGATAACCTTCCCCTCTCGGGACACTGAGCCACATCTGCCAAGTCCCTTTTGCCGTATAAGGTAATACCCATAAGTCCCTGGGATGAAGACGTGGACCTCTATGGTGGAGCATTACCCAGCCAACAGCCATGCACTTGAAATAAGGCATGGGACGCACACGTGCCCAGTGGCACAGTGCCTGACTCATAGGCGACGGCCAATAATCACTAGCTATTGTCACTGTGGCTTGTTTGTTTAGTCTTTTATAGTTTATGATACACTTTCACAGTCATCTCATTTGATGCTTGTAGCACTCTGAGGTTGGCGTTATTATCCCCATTTCACAGATGAGCAATTTGAGTCTACGAGAGGTAAGGGACTAACCTCTCCTGGAGAAGGAAGCAGGCCTTGCTGTTCTTCCTTCACATCAGTTTCTCCCAAGTAACCCCCTGCCTCCTGTTTCCGGGGCAGCTTTGTAACTCTGGATGGATCCTCTCTCTGTCATCTCCACTCAGGGACCCAAAGCTAGAAATAGCTGCACAAGCCTCCTATTGCCTCTCATTCTATAAACTTCCTTAAGACGTAACCAACAGAACAACGAGTCGTTCTGTCTGACAATGACCCACGCCCACCCCCACTGGACGGCTGGCTCACACTCAGCTCTGGCGACCTCGACAACCTCATCTGTAGTCCATGTCCTGGAAGAGCTTTGCCAGTTCCAGGGTCTCGCTTCACCCTCACCACTCTCTGCTCCTCTGGAGATATTTTGAGAAAATATGCTTTACCCAAGTCACCCAGGTTGGAGGTTTTTCCCCAAGTAAGTGCTCTTGGTTCAGCATTTTTCATCAGGGTTCAAGCTTAAGCTCAGTTATACTTATACATAACTGAGCCTATGCTTATAAGCTCAGTTATACAGTTATACTTAACTATATGAAACTTCAGGGTTTTCTGACCACCCCTGTTTGCACAATCACAAGCTACTGAATGGGCATTTCAGTGCGAGCTAGAAACAAGGCAATCCCCTCTCTGCACGAGACTTAAATGACAGCCCACCTATCTCCCATTTCTCTCTTCTAAGCCCTTCCCCATTATAAATACTGCATTTATATTAAGACTGAGTTCGACCTGTAATACTGCCTAGTTTCTCTTCTGTGTTGTCCAACTTGGAGCATAATGAAAAGAGATCATTTTCCATATTAAAATGATCTATTTGGATAAAGCTCCTCCTACCAATGGGTTGCACTCTCTCTCAATTGTGAGCACAGAGAGGGGGTGTCAAACACTTTTTCTAGGATACCAGGGGATTTCTGAGCTTACTGCTGTGTCTACAGCGTGTAAATAATCGAACCTTAGCACCCTGAAAAAGTCTGAGCTCCCCTGTGTTCCTTAGCGAAATCCTGGGGTGCTGTGGCCAGACGAGGGCTCCCCAGGAATGATGAATGCAGGAGGAAGTGGTGAACATTCTGGTATGTGCCAGGGGCCAGCGAGCGACAGTCCACAAGCCAAATCCCATGCAACACGGCCTGTCTGTGTAAATAAAGTTTTACTCATTTGTTTATGTGCCGTCTGTGGCTGCTTTCATGTTACAATGGCTGAGTAGTTGCGACAGAGACCATATGGCCTGAAAGCTTAAAATATTTACTAACTGGCTTTTTATAGACAGTGTTTGCCGACCCCTGGCTACTCTGGAACTGGGCAGTTCTCCTTCTGCCTTCGCCAGCAATTACATGCCACGTCGCGTAACCGCTCTGTAAGAAGAGGGAACTAGGTCGGCAGAGGCTTTCAAAACTTAAAACAAAAACCACGGGCAGGAAAGCCCAGGCGGCAAGAATTAGAGCTGGGACTCAAAAGCCGGCCAT